GGATGTGCTGCTTTCCTGGAGGTGATAAAATAAACTGAGCAGTGACATCAGTTCTGCTGTTTTTCCCCTGTTGCAGGAGTTTAATCAGCAGCTGAAACCAAAACATTTTGGTTAGGAAAGAGATGGCCACAATTAATCTAAATCTAATAACTAGAACGTTTTCACTGGGGAATTAAAACAAATTATTCCTTTGCTATTGCATCTTCATCTCATTTACATTTTAATCCCAGTAGGATCTTCCTCTGTTATATTTGGAAAACGACTGCACAGAAAGGGAAAAACAACTCTGTTGAAGTACTCAAAGATGCATCCAGAATTTAGCTATTAGCTTTTATGGCAGATGTCTGGCTATGCCAAGATGAGAATGGTTGAAAATTAGGACAAATACTGTGGTTTGTTCCAAACACAGCTGAATGCAGAGCCTGGTGGCTTTTCAGCCTGTGCACACAAAGACAGGCAAACAAAAGGTTGGGGCATAAGGTTCTGTTGAAGGTGTAATTACACATTAGCCAGAGCAAAGCAGGTTGCTCTTTCATTTGTACCAAAATGAAAGGGAACTCTGCTGGAGATCACTGTGTGCAGAGGGAACCTATGCCTTCCTACCCCCTGGTTCTCCACTTCCAGGGGGTGGGAGAAAACACTTAAGCCTTGTTTTCCTTGCTGTGAGGTTTCTTTGCAGGATAACAGGCTCACAGCTTTTGACTCAAGGTAAATATGCAGTGAATAAAGGTGCTTTAGTGTTGTCAAAGTAACATCAGCACTATATCCCATCTTATTCCAGTTTGCCTTACTACTTTGCCTTCTTGTTCTTATTTTGAAGCAAAAGCATGCTAAAAATAAATAACCTACATTTCTGCCATGTCAACGATGGGAAGTCCTGGTTAAACACAAACTGTCACACACATACCACGCTCCAGATCCTCCATGCTGTCACAGGGTAGCTGATCCCACTAAGGATACCAGGTTAAACCAGCAACAGAGACAGCAGCTTTCTCCACCCCAGAGCATGTTCTCTGTACTTTCAGACAGTTTAGAGTCACTGCATAATCCCAGTTTTACCTCCAGTAATTATTTTCATGTGATCCTGTGCATCCCTTTGCTTAGGAAGATACGCAGTGACGGTAACGTACCAGAAAGGAAGCAACCACACAGTCTAACATGGGAAGAGATGAGTTCATGCATCATGTGGTGTGGATAGCTGTGTGTAATATCACTCAAGGCTGATCAGCCCTCTGTGGCCTTAACACTGGGTGACTTAATACACAGAATTACTCTAGGTAAACCCAGACAGGCTCCTGCACCTGCTTTTTCTGTGTTGCTTTGCCTTTGTGGATGACCGTTGTCTAGCAGATCAAGCATGATGCTTTAGTATTAACTTTCAAGTTCTTACACAGATTGTTCTTTAGGAGCTTGTTGAACTATTGACAATGTACATCCATGTTGCCCCACAAGATCAAAAGGAGAAGACTTTCGGTCCACATGTATTATTTGCTCAGGCTTGCTGTAATCCTGGCTTTAGAGACTGACCTTCCCAAGAGCCCCCTAAGTGCCACAGAAATGACTCCTCATAATACAGGCTTCAAGGATGCACCTGTTATCTAGGTTGTGTTTATAGGGCACTCCATCGCTTAACATTCCTGGAGACCTTTGTGAAACCAAGAGTTTACAGACACAGAACTCGTTGCTAAAATCTCATCTGATTTCCAGTCCCCCTTTCCCAAATGCCACGCTTGGGGCTGAAATTTGCCAGGTTCCTACTGCTATAGATCAGCAGATCAACCACTGAAGCTGAAAGGTGAAATCTGGCTGCACAAAAGGTGATGGCAAGGTGCCTGCTGACTTCAGAACAGCCACAGTTTCATCCACTAATAATATTCAGTGTTTGTTGAAGCTTTTTGTTTTAATCAGTCTAGTGCAAAGAAACACATGCTGTCCCAAACGACTACTCATGTAGTTAGCTGTAGCATTTCTGAATATCGTAATACTAAAGTTGGGGTTTAAAGGTATAATTTTCCCCAAAGGGATCCATCCCTTGCATGTCCTCAGCCACTCTGAGCAGGCTCTGCTGGTGCTTTCCTCCTCCCTCAAATACAATGTGCAGCTTCCCTGAATGCTACAAAATTGCTCTAGACGTACGCTGGTGTAGCTGAAAGAAAGATCAAACTGAGTATTCAATTACTTGTGCACCCAAAGATATTTATTCCCTGAGATGAAACTCCTAAATCTGTTACTGCCAGTCCCTCTTCTATTACTATTCACATGCTGCTGCTTTCAGATCTATGGAGTTGTCAACACTATTTACTGGAAACAAAAAGTGAAAGATTGGAACATGACAGGGAAATGTTTAGAATTATTAACTGTTTGCACAGAGGAGGTAACTAATCTTAATTAATTCTAGTAGAGTGTAATTGCTACACAGGGATGCTTCCCAAGACTTTTTATTGTATCCAAGGTCTATTTGTTTCATACTTTGGGATTCTTGTTTCTTTTTTAAACCCAGATACTATGGTGGGTAAAAACTGAGGTCAAAAGCAACAGCTACAAGACCACAGGACAAACCCCAGAGAGGAAAGGGGCTCTTGCAGCAATGTTTGTGAAAACACCAGACAAGAAGGGACGGAACCCCCCTACCAGCACTGAGATCTTAGCTCAAGGTCTATGTAAAGGTAAATGCAATGCTGCAAAGGAAAAGTCATTTTGCTTCACAGCATCCTGTATTTTCCTCTTTATGCTGACACCCTCCTGTTGTTAGCATGTACCATAGTTTTAATGATAGCTCTGCAGCAATAAGACTTCATAAAAGTCTGTACGTAAAAATCAATGAAGAAAACCACAGGGTTTATCCTGTAATGGCCTCTGCCCCCATCAAGATCACTGACAGCAGTCCTCTTTGATGTACTCTCCCCTGTATCTTCATCAGGTGTTGAGGGCCCTAGCTCAGGGAATGTAGAAAATGAAAAGCCAAAAATCTGAACCAGTCAACTCAACCTGTCTAATGTTCAATGCTCAGTTTCAGACATCCAATTTTCAGAGGGCCCTGAAGAGCCACATGAGGAAATGAAAAATGAGCCCTCTGACAGAGCCCACAGCCTGAACCTGTCCTCAGTCTCTTGCCCAGAGTCTGTTAGCCCTTCTCAGTGTATGAAACCACCAGAGCCAAACAGCAGCCAGAAAATACACATTCACTGTTTCAAGGGGAAATAGGTGAACAATATAGCTGCTGATTTAATAACCCTGGAACTGAACCTTTCTGTCTATGTGCAGTGGAGACAATAGCCCAAAGAACTCAGCAAAGTCTCCTCGCTGACCGGCCTCACAGCCAGATGTGAAAAGGCTCTTCCTAGTCACATACATCCCAAACCTTGAGCATGCCAATCACCCCTGGTGGGTTAGCAACACCAGCACCAGCCCGCTGTGAATGGGCTGAGACTCATTTAATATCCCTTGACAGGGGCTGGATTCAAATCAGTAAGTCAAAGTCGCTTGCTCCTGTGCCAGCTTTCCAAGGAATGCTGTTATCTTGGGAACCGCACACGTAATAACACAAGGCATGAGCTGTCAAAGGAGTACACACAGGTTGTCCACAGAGTCACAGGTGTAATATCCCTTGACACAGGCTGGATTCAAATCAGTAAGTCAAAGTCGCTTGCTCCTGTGCCAGCTTTCCAAGGAATGCTGTTATCTTGGGAATCACACACGTAATAACACAAGGCATGAGCTGTCAAAGGAGTACACACAGGTTGTCCACAGATTCACAGGTATTGCTCGCAGCACTGACAGAGCAATGTGTATCACTGTCCCAAGTGCCAGATGAGCTCTACTGATAATTTTCCCCTTTCAACTTAATCCATCCGTATCAATGACAAAATGTCTCTTTTTATTGCCATGTAAAACCAGTTCCTAAAATACACGAGATAAGTGTGCATGACTTCTGCACACAGGCTGCACCCCTGGTGCCTATATTACGTGACCCAAGAAGCCTCCAAACTGCACCATCCTGAAAGCAAGGGGATACAGAGAGGATCCCTCCATCTACAACTTTGTTATAATAGTCTTTCCCAAAGTGTGTGTCCATGACCTCATTTGAGGAAGAATACAGGTTTGGGTAGATGTGATTTGGTGTGACTGCTCTTGTTTTCTTTAAGTGTTAATCCTTTTACCTTTCAACCTTGCAAAACAAGCTAAGAGGATCTAAGAGCCAGCTAAGAGCCCAGAAGTAACCCCCAAACTCACAAGCAACATGACCTAAAAGCAAGACGGTCCTCTACTAACCATTAACAACAAGATACACAACAGCTTCTCGGATCAAAGTGGCAGACTGATACCTAGCATCAGTATCTGAGGGAAATATCCCTCAGCATATCCACTCTAGGATTTAATTATGAGGACAAGCAGTACCTTCACAACACCTTTGTGCAACAGCAAGTTTTGCAGCCAAGGTACAAATACCCAGTGAACCTTTTAACTTCAAGTAACTGGTGGGCACATTTGTTCTTTCAGAAAAATTCAGCAGAGACAATCACCATCCTTTAATAAATTATCTGCAGCAAAATTCTAGCAATAGAATTAGGGAAAGACATACTTGCATCCTGTCTCAAGATTTACATGCATGTTCACCAAAGTTTCAAGTATCCAGTATCATGAATGCAAGCAACACATTTTTTGTTTCAAACAGAAAGCCAAGAGTAGGAACAGAACTAAAGACAGTACTAAATATACTAAAATAACTGTCCAAGACTCAAATAACCCCACCATGGCCTCTCCCCACACATAGCAAGATTTCCAATGAAATAACAAGAATTGATGGCATCATATATGTTGTCAATAAAATACTCAACAGTAATGGTTTTCTCTGTTTTGCCAATGCACATCATCAGAAAACAGAAAGCCAAACTTGCAGTTAGAGCTTCCCAACAACTTTCTCAAAGAAATATATTCTCCCCTACCAAGGGTTCCAACCTCCTTTTTTCCAAAGAAAAATATGGTCTTGCCTTACTTACCTCCTCCATAGGTGGTAGCACACATGATGGATGTTACCCAGGCAATCTGGCTGTAGGAGATGCTGTAAACAGCCTGGAGCTCTTTGAAGTAGATTGTGAAAGCTTTAGGAAAGGTATATGCAAACCCAACTGAGATGGAGGCTCCGAACACCACTGCCCATCCCCATCCGCCATCAGGGGGTACATAGCCCAGGTCTGAAGAGACTGGAGGAGACATGGTCAATCCAGATTTCAGAGCAAAATCCCCTTTGTGCTGTCCTACAGGGCAAAGGATATGTGTGTTTTACAGAATATGCATATCGTGTAATCAGTAACACAATTTTAAAGCATAGTGATATAATTTAGAGGTACAGAGGATCACCCACTCTCAAAGCCTTGATCTTTTGCTGTTGTACAGTTCTAACACAACCAAAATCACCCTTCCCTCCCAATACCCTTTCTACCAGTATTTTAAATATACACACCCTCAAAGCTCTCCCACAGCTTCCACCTCCAGGGACAGACCTCATTCACAACCGAAGTTAAAGCCTCTGCTTTCTCTTCTCTCCTGTATCCAGCCAGTAGCTCGGTGTCTTACTTCAGGAGTTGGCTTCTGGAGGTTGCTCCTGCAACAGTCTCACCAGAGAGAACCAGATGATGCAGTTGTAATGTTTTTAGGGTAAATGCCTCATTGTGTATTTTTCAGATGTGGGTGGAAAACCCTATGATTCTGTGTTATCCCTCCTGAAAAGAATAATTCCCATTATGTGAACAGCAGAATGGCCCCACAGCATGTCCAGCTCTCCTGTTCTGCAGGGGACAAGGCTCTCTTGCCTGTATGATTCCGTCAAGCCAAAAAGCAAAGTGTAAGCAACTACTTGCAAAGAGGCTGATGTATCTTGCTACTTAGGGGCAGCAATTCTGCTTATGCCTGGTGCCTGCCAGGTTAGCAGATTATGCTCAGGAGCAACACAGATCAAAGAGGGCATTCACTCACTTGCATTCTTCCCATTTTCCCTGCCCGTTAAAATAAAATGAGGGTAAAAGGAAAAGCACTACCTCTCAGGAGTTAGTCCATAAGGCTCCTGTCAAGGTCAACGCATTAAACCAGAGAGGAGGAGGTACGACAGCAAGGAGTAGCAGGGAGGTGCACCTGCATCTTTGTGGATAAAAGGTGATTTATTACCTTCATATACTGCAAACTCAGAAGCAAGTGAAGCTGAGAGGAAAAGGCTAATGGGAAGCAGCAAGTACAGATAATCAGCTGGACACATTTTGCTGAACCATAGTCAGCTAACTGGGGAGAGAGGGACCTTTGCTTACCTTGCAAAAAGAGAGAAGAAAAATCCCAGGACCTTAGGAAAAGTTCAATGCAATTTGCATCTATCTGAAAGTGCATTGCCTCTTGAGAGGTGTAGTGTGGAACCAAACTGTAAGTAGGGGGACACTACTGGAACCATATAGAAATTAAAAAAACCCCAACCAAATAGGTACTTTAAGCTGGTGATGTATAGGTATAGGTATACAATGATATACTCCTGACTTCATACTTTCTTTCATCTGCTTTTACAGCTGTTGCTGCAAGGACTTCCTGGCAAATGCACACGTAAGAACTACTCAACTTCTAACATACAAGAAAACCCCTATGGCCCTAAACCCCTGTCCAAAGCAGCTGAGCAAACCCCAATCGTACTGGAGAAAACATTGGTCCCAAAAGCTCCTGTTTAATGTATCTAGTCTTTAATTTCTAACCTGGATGAAATCCAGGGTAGCAAGTTGCTGGGTTTTCTGAGATTTCATTGCTATACCAAGAGAAGGCCAACTAAGAAGTCTTTTACCACAGCAAAATAATAAATAATAATGAAAATGTCCTGTTATGTGATGAGGGATGCTACAGTACAATTTCAGCAGCAAGACAGATGGCACTTGTAAAGTTTCTCCTGTTCTGATATTAAGTAATAAAATAGTCTTATGGAAATTCATTGAACATTATTTCCCCATTACTGGCATTCAGAATATATGGAACAAGTTATTCTGGTGAAGAATTTATCATCCCTCATCATTAAAGTTTTACCATAGAAAGAATAGTTGTCTTTTAGAATTAACTATTCTTTGTTACCATAGGTGGGATTTTAAAAGGAAACCTAAATTAAAGAGTAATAGTGGTGACGTTGGAATGACTGTCCACTGACAAGATGCTTAAGAGCTTTTATTACTTGTCATATTTGCATTTCATTGCACTGTTTCTTTCATCTATGCTTATTCTAGCCAATTTAAGCTACTCAAATACTAGAGAATACCAAGCTCGCAAAAAAACATTGATGTATCCTAGTGCTTTTGAAATCAGGCAAAGTAAAATTGATTAAGAGGTGAGCATCGTGAGGACGTGTTCCCTTATTTAATATTATGTTTGATATTCACAGTCTACCAAAGTTTAGAATATGCAAAACTTCTCAGGCACCTCAAATTCACATCTCTTTTGGCAGCCCTTTAAAAAGGTCGAGCCTGAACTTCCAATATATTTTCAGGGATTAACAAGAAAGGTCATTTTTTTATTACCACCAATTCATTCCTCTTGTAAAACCTTGACTAATTGTGCACCACCTTTACAAGTCTCACACGATGAATATATTTGTTCAGTGAATCTCATTTTCTGTTTAATGGCAGATTTATTAAGAAGACATTAGCATAAAATCAGATTCCGGTATCAGTTTCCTTGTCCAGCTTTCCTTTATCAAGGCAATTTCTTACGTAATACAGAAAACCAAACAGAGGAACTGAAGATAAATGAAAACTTAGTGTACACTAGGAAATAAAAATCATATAAACTGACTTTTACTTCCCTGACTGTAAAACAAGTCTTGCAGAGGCTGGCCTGGGGGAACTGAACTTTAGGGACTATTTTAACAGTTTAATAGCCTGAGCAATAAACAGTAATGGGACACATTGATACTCTCGCTCACTTCTCCTGTGGCACCCCCATAGTTTGTGGAGACAGCAGCACTAAGGAGGGCACAGGACCATCCTCTCATGGGATATTACCCCTTTCAGTTACCACGCTCTCAGCCATGTCCTTGCCACCTTAAAGTTCCTCAGCCCCAGCCCTCATCTTCTACAGGTTTGTTCTTAATTTCCATGTGGCATCACAGCAGCTCTTTCTCCAACACCCACTTCAAGGAAAACTTTTGCATTTTGATTTTTTCCTTTTTAATAACTGTTCACTAAACTGTTTGATTTCCTCCTGGAAGGCCCTGCTTTCTTACATCTGTGCCCTTACTTACCCTTACCACATTTGTGTTTTTCCTCCCCTCAATATTGTTCAGGCCCTGCTACACCACTGAAATAAAATTACAGCCCTATAATTTTCGAGGTCTTATTTAAATGAATGGAGGCATTACAGTTCATTTGTTGTTCTCTAGTTGCATTGTGCATGTAATTTCATTTGTCAGCTCTTTCAAATGACCCTATCTCTCCTCATCCTTGATAGCTTCTCTTTCCTTTACCCAGAAAGCACTGAAACCTCCACCTCTTAATTCCCCTTTTACTGGAGCAGAGGAAAATCATGAGAAAATTGTCTTCGCATAGACATGGCCTGACTCACATTCACTGGTAGGCGCTTTCCTTTTACTAAGGTTTCTTTTTTTATGAAGTTATACATGTCTGGAATTCCCATTTCTCCCATTTCTCCACCCACCATTCCCTATAAGCTTCCTGCTTTATTCCTCTTACCTTTTTAGACCTACTTATTCATTGATCACTTCTAGATACTCATTATCCACTATTTTTCCTCCCGTTTAGGAAACCAGGTAAGGCTATCATCAACAACTTCAAAATAAAGAAATTCCAGGTCTCTTGCACAATCAAGGCCCTCACATCTCAATCTTGCTGATATTACCATCTTCTTCATTTGTTGAACATTTTTCCTTTTGGAACCAACATATACAATCACAGTCCTCCATTCTGTAATTAAATCAACTGGGGACTATTCTTAGACTATACAATTACTTTCTACATTTGTTTTATTTGGTTGGATGTGATTTTTTGTTGTTAAAAGACAGCACCATGACAAATCAAACCCAAGTCTAATGCAGCTTCACCTGTCTATACAAGGACTCCCTTGGTTTCCCTCAACCCAAGCAAGCCACCGCATACCGTACATACATACAAACTCACTGACCACTGTTCAGTGGGATGCTCTCTCTTCCGCAGAAGTGGGTACCACTGGGACTCTCCTCCCTGTGGCTCTCCGGTTTCTGGCTCTCCTGGCAGTGACCTGCTCAGCTTTTAAAACCATCTGCTGAACTCTTCCCCCACCCCAGATGCAGCAGAGATCAAAGGTTGAAATCAGAGGCTGTATCCTCAGATACAAGACTTTGCTGTAACTCACAACACCCTTTCCCACCCAACCCCTTAAGTTATATCCAAAGGTGACTACATCCCACATTAAGTAACGTTCCAGGAACAGGGATGACCATTTGCCTACCAGAGACAACATGAGTGCCAGCTCCCCATTTGCAGTGCTTGGAATGCTGGCTTCTCTCACATCTCTGGTGATATTTATAAATTACTTGCCAGATATCCTTTTTCCTTCCTCCCTCTCTTCCTTGTACATGTTAACTTATTCTTTCTTCACACCGCATTTCTGCAGGTTCTGCTCCCATTCTCTCCTCTGGGGGCATTTGCATACAGAGATCCCCTATCTTTGCCTATCCTGCTGTAGGAATTTTAACCTCCTGCCTGAAATTCTCTTTCACGACGTCCGAGTCACCTAAAATCCTGCATCAGACTTATTTTGATCACTCAAGAACAAACAAAGGGTTTCACAGACCACAGCAACACTTATCAAAGGGTGAATTTCACCCAGGAGCAAGGGGAGGAGGATATGCAAAGTTCCTGAATTTCTTGCCAGTAAACAAGTGGATGACTTGGACAAGCGAGCAATGTCCACAATGTGAGTCCACACTTTGGGGAGGTTTAATATAACCCAATTTCAGTAGGAATGTTTCCACAAGACTTAGGTTGCAAATCCCCACTTGCAGGATTTAAAACATTCCCCTGGCGTGTTTATAATCCAGACGTTGTAATGCACTACTTAAGCACAAGAAAATGCAGGAATCAAGCTGACAGTAGGCAGGTCAGGGTAATGTTCTCATCCAATCTAGTAGAAAACTCAACAGAAAGGTAAATAAACACAGAGAAAAATAATATATCCAAGCTAACTTTGCAAGTCAGCATTTACCTCAACCCACATTTCCTTGGGGCGACATGCAGTCATCCATGCTGTTTTGTATTGCCCCAACAAAAATACCTTCCTTGCAAGGACACAGCAAATGCTTAAACCCATGCACTAGCTCGCAGTTTACATTAAAAAGAAAGGCTGCTACCAGCACTACTGCAGCCAGCTCAACACTCGTTTCACACAGGACACACAATGGATTTTCTACCAGCCAATACTACCAGCATGCTGAAGAAGTCTCCAAGCGTCAAAAGACAGCAAGATAAAATGGAGAAATCCATTGAGGGCTACTAATACAAAGATGCCACCTCTGGCATTGCAGTTGCAAACTGCTGGAGGCTAGGGAATACTGACAGCCAGCTCCATTCTTGTCATCCCAGATATCCACTGTCAGGGACAGAATACCAATTGAACATACCTAGGTCTGAATTGATCTTATGGTCCAGCCCTCTTTACCTCGCTGGTCATGGCTTCTACAAGTTACTCTTTCTAAAAGCATCTTACAGCCAGAAATGTAACAAGCATAGCCAGTGTGTTCTGTCTTCTGAAAGGAATATATCAGTTATTGGTGCTATAAGAATTCACTGCAGCGTGTTTGAGATGCCCGTGGTCCTCAGCGCTGTCCCACTGGAGGTCATCAGAAGCTGCCTATTGAAGAGGCTGAAACTGCACCAAACCTAGGGTTCAGAAGAGTCATTTCTTTCAACACTACGATCTTTAAGAGCAATGTTATTGTGAAAACTCAATGGCTTTGCAAAAGGTGAAATCTCTTTTAGAATTCTGTAGTTTCTACACTGCTGGTCTTTCCTTCTAAAACTGCACTTCCCCTTTGCTTGCAGATACTTGATAGTTCCCTGGGCTCTGAGATATTTTAGACATTTTGGTACTTTACCAAATCAAAACATGATATTACCTTTGTTAAATTATGTTGTCCTCCTTCCACTTCTGTGTTAATAGCAATTGCCTTCGTTATAAAAGCTTTCTACTGATGGCTGTGGCCATTTGTAGCACTTCAGACGTAACAGCGATTCCAACAGTTGAGACTGCTTTTCAAAATCACTTTGGAATACCTTGGAAAAATCACCTCCATCAGTGGTTGAGATAGAAAAAAAGCAGCAGAAACTCTTTTACTATTCCATTGACCTATGAAAAATTGAAATGTGAAGGACTAATCAGATGGCTCTTTAATACTTGCTTTCCATATACCATTTTTGATGTAAAATGTGGCACATCTCTATTTCTTTTAAGAAAAAACAAAATGCAAGTTTCAGAGTAAATACAATTTAAGCACTTCGCTTATTGGCTGTGAAAGAAGGTTAATTTGATATTCACCAAATAGTCCTGCCCCTGTACTTTCCAGAATGTCTGAAGAAATCTGTTGCTGAAGGAATATGAACAGAATCAAACTAGAAGGGTATAAAGCAATTCAAAATTTAATTGCAAGTATTTTCCTGCAGCTGATGTATCACATACCAACTTGACTTCAAAACAATAAGTTTCATAAAATTTAGAATTGAGTTTACAAATAATCAAAAGCTATCATTAAAAAAAGAATCAAAAGTTGGCACAAACCAAGTGTACATTTCGCACATCTTCCATTTGCACTGGACCTTCCCAGCTTTCTGCAATACTAACAGCTGCAGAAAAGAGGTCATGTGCAGGTCCTAGGGATACATGGGAACAGAGAGCATTCCTTAAAATGGACTTACGTGGTACTATTTTGGTTGATGTTTTACAGGTATGTTATCATTGCTAGTACTCATTGACACCTGAAGATCTAAATAAGCACATACTGTCTTTTAAGAGGTCAGACTCCACACTTTAAAGGTGGTAACTGAGACTGTAAGGGCACAGCCTCCTGCCCCATTAACCTGTTGTGACTGTGGGGCCACAGCACAAAGCAGCAGGGCTAGGAGAACTTGAGACTCACTTCTAGGGAACTGCATGCAGCAATGGTCCTTCCATGCTGGGAAGGTCTCACCATCACTAAGGTACTATAAAGAGTAAGACACAATGCTTTACTGATTTCCCTTTTGCTCCTCTTCATGTAGATCTACATCTTCTTTACTCAAAAACTTACATGTCGGAAACTGCCTAGTCCTTCAAAAAGAGACAAACCCAGGAAACTGTTCAAGGGGGCATTTTTAGCCTGTTTTTCCTTGAGGAAACACGGTATTTAGTTTCGTTGTTTTTTTGTTTTGTTTTTATGTGCTCAATTACTCTCACTATCTGCTACCACATACACCTCAACTTCTGAGATGCTGTCTGGTTTAAATTACATTTTATGGAGGGCCAAAGCTTTCAAAGATGGGTACTCTGTACAGGTTTTGTGTGCAATTAGTTGGCTAGAACAGAAAGAGATCATAGACTACCTTGGGTTGGAAGGGACCTTAACACTCATCCAGTTCCAACCCCCCTGCCACGGGCAGGGCCACCTTCCACTAGAGCAGGTTGCTCCAAGCCCCATCCAACCTGACCTTGAAGGCTGCCAGGGATGGAGCAGCCACAGCTTTTCTGGGCACCCTGTGCAACTTCCTGCAAAGGGAAGCTGATAAACACAACCTTTGTTACAGTTCAGAAAACCTGCTGTAGAGAGACACATTAGAAATCAGTTTCGCTGCTCCTGAAATGACTTGTTAACCTGTAGCTCAATCACACAAACTCAGACAAAGTTAATAAATACCTGCCTCTGACAGTGGATATTTGCAGTATCATTTGTGTAAAGTACAGAAATCAGCAGTGAGGCAAATGGGACCTTAACTAAATGTTAAGGAAGGGGTGAGGTTCAAACTTTGAGGCAGAGAGAGGAGTACATGTTGCACAGAGATAAGCAGATAGCAACGCCTGGGTGGTTATTTCTCCACCTTCTGACAGGACGACTGCCCAGCTGTGAGATATCCCCTGCACACAGCATATGGGAGTGTAGTTCTTCGTAACTTGGGGGCTGTGAAAAACCAGGGCACAGATTCATGAAAGTCGAACAAACCTGGTGGATTATTTCATTTAAGTAATGCTACTTTGCCTTGGGGTGTACATGTGTGTTCCATTCCTCCAGCAAATGCTTCCAAAATAACATGTCTTGCTTCCCTAAGTATGTCCGAAAAGGAAAATCAAAATGGCCAGAAAATAGTTCAACCCCCTCCCAGGACAGAAACAATCTCCCCAGGTGCCTATATATTTCTCTCATCAAAAAATACATCAGAATTTACTGTAGTATCCAAAGAAGGGAAATCCTCTTTGACGCTTAGAGGGTATAATAATTTGCAAAACTGCTCCCTTAGCTACTCATGACCCTCAGTATACCTGAATAGGTCAACTTGACCATGCAAAGTTCTCATTCATTGCATGCCAAGTGTTAGAAGGATTTCATAAGAGCTACTAGGGAATTTGGAACACTGAGGTCCAATTCTTTTGTCATGTTTTTTTTTTTTTTTGCCATGAGAGCAAAAGAGAAATTAAAGAGAAATTAAAGAATCAAAGAACATGGTTGAACTCCTGTCCCAGTTTTGGCTCTACTCCCTCTCCGTGGCCATTACAAACCAAGAGTGCCTTCCAGATATGTCTTAGAAAATTCAAGCCTACCTCCTCTGTGCTGGCTTCATCATTTTTTCTGCTAGGTCTTCAAGGGGACACATCCCTGGTTTGTGACAGAGCAGTTGCAGATCTGGACAGGAAAGCAGGCAGGCAAGTGGCGCCTTTGCTCTACTGGCTGATTACTGCAGAGAAATCTTCCCAGCAACAGAAGGCTGTGAACAGAAAAGATATCAAGACTGTCCAGTACATGCTGTTAATAGGCTGGAAGAAAGTAGCTCAACTATGAAGAACAATGCTGCAATCACATGAAATAAACCAGTGACTACACAAAGAAGCTAGGAACATGGGTGCTGCTCTTGGTCCAACTGGAGAGAGTGGACCATTCTGAAACAGTGACCAGGAGCATGGATTTCCTAGCACAAATTCACCCAAGGCTAGAATCATCATGCAGAAGTCTCCAGACATCTGGGTACCGCAATGCATGGCTCATGAGCAGTCTCCTGCATAGCTCAGGCAGCCAAGCCAGCCTGACTCACCAACCATGTGTGCAGAGCTCATCTGTAGATACACCACCACCACTAGCCTGGATGATGTATTTCTTCTGTTGTGACCAGACTACCAGGTGAATAGCCTTTAAATCACAACCAGACAAGTTTACAGGCTGAGGGTGAGGGGCTGAATGGGTGGGAGGGTGGAATAACACCTGCAAGAACTCAGTAAAAGGGGTACCTTCCCAAACAAGAGAATTTCATGTTTTCCTAGCCTGCAATGACTGAGCATCATTAGACAGTTCCTGAAAAGGAACAAAGGTTCTCAAATGAAGAGTATAATTTACAAGCAGATGTGCTAAGCACTGTCACTACATCAGAAGCCACATATAAGGCTGGAGTTCTGTTTAAACAGCTAGGAGAAAAGAGGCTTCTTGTTCTCGGCTCTGCAGTAGACTCCTTTGCAACTAGCATCACTGTACTCTCCACCTCCCTTTTGCCACCTGGGAAGGAACATCCTTACTAAGGATGTTGGGAAACTCAGTATGAAGCATTTCAGGGTTTTCCAATGTGCAGCAGGATCAGACTGGAAAGCCCTACTTGACATTCCTGCTGTGATGACAGCTCCAGGCAAAGGCAAGGAGGAAGGGAAAGGGAAAGATGATGTCACCTGCATGTAAGCAAATGAGACGTTAGACCTGAATAGCAACAAGGAGACAGCAAAGCAGAACAAAGCACCTTCCACCCCAAGTAACAGCCTTAAAAAGGAAAAAATGACATAGATACATTACACACAAGTAGAGAAACAACTGAACAAGCATCAAAAAGATGCATCACTGGGTTAACTTACAGAAGTTTACTAAAAAGCATGCAAGAAATTTATCACAAAACCAGTTGAACTCAATTGTATTTCAACAATAGGTTTATTTTAAGAAACATAACATGACATTACGTAAAAATGCAAAATTGTGCAATTATGGCAAAATGTTTAAAAATCCACACATTTGCCCTCATAGGACTACAGTACTTCTTACTAACATACCTGAGCACTGAATGTTGGATGCCATTTCTAAACAGCCTTACGAACAGGGAGCTCTTCAATATCTTGTAGAACATACACACACTGGTTGGTGCACCAGAACTGCTTTTAGTTAGTCTAAATTTTACTGATGGAATCAAGTGGAAATTACAAAATGTTGCCTTCTAAAGTAACTAAGAAGTCTGGAAAAAGAGATTTACACTCACAAAGTCCTCACAATGCTAGAAATTCATTTAATAAAGGGCAAGAAATGAATGCAGAAAAAATACCAAGTGGGGGAAAATGTACAGATTACTGTTTAAATATTATCAGTACCTTTGGTGCAATTTTTTCTCTTGTGCTGTGCAAGTTTACTTAAGCCTGACTCTAAAGCAAAACTTTAGCAGGAATCTGACTTTCAGCAAGACGTAGAAGCATTTAAGAATTGGCAAAATGTCACAGCTACATTACTGTCTCAACAAACTCCTCATGCAAAAAGTTTAGTATATTCTACTCCCACAGCAAGTTCCAGGATTTAACTTTTAAACACATAACAGACTTGGATCACACCCTCAGTTTGAATGGTTAAACAGAATGGAGATCTTCGTACTTTAGTGCAGATAAAACAAAATGAACAAACCTACTGTAGAATTAACCACAGCATATTGTACTTCTATACATCACATGACCAGTCAACTGCTAACTCAATTCTATTTCATAGTTTCAAGTAATATATTGAAATTTGTTCTACTAAATAAATATAGATTGTCAAAAAGCAGCAAGAAGTCTTGTAAATATTCAACCAAGCTTAAGAAAACCCAAAACAACAAAAAACCAAAACCAACCAACAAAAAAAAAAAAAGACAGAGAGAAAAAAGGTACAAAACACTTTGCAAAGAAATGGTTTTACACATAAATGCAACACTGTTAGGGAGGGTGCTTCAGAAAGCTTGCAGCTAGAGGCCTACAACAGAGCAAAGAGCTAGCCAAGGACTAAGGGTAATTGTAAAAATGAAACCAGTTGTCCTTTATAAAAACACCAACACTCTTATTCTTGGCTATGGATACACTGAAAACAGTATCCAGAGGAAAACTAAACAAAAAAACCAACACACTTCAACACTGTTGGAAAATGCAACAAATGCAACGCTGTTGGAAAATGCAACTTAGCAAGAAGTGTCAATTCAGGCGCTCATGTTCAAAAGCAGCGGCTTGGTGAGTCTCTGGAAGATGAGGTATGTAATGCAAAGAGGCTTTTTCTTTTTTTCTCCTTTTCATTTCACAGTTTTTGTGTTTGCTTTTGCCTTTTAAACACTTTGTGCAAGAATTAAGAAACAGAACCAGGCATGTATTGTTGTGGATGAGAAAGAGCCCATTTGGGAACAGTAACACCACGTTGTAAACAAACAGTATCAAAATCCTCAGCCATGCCAGGGGGGATAAACAACAAGCTAAATATTTGGCTTACTGAAATATCAGCTGTGAAGCCAGATAGTGGTAAGCATTTACAGCCAGCGATGGCCACTGCTATTTCAAGTTAACTGATTTCCTTAGGTCAATTGGAGAAAACAGGGAAGCGTAAGATAACAGTCACAGCTCTACAAAAATTAGAGCCGTAACAAAGTAAACCTGGTGAGTTACAGCCGATACGAGTTTTAGGATTCATCTTTTCCCTTTTAAATCCAGTTTTCAGTACTGAAGTAGAGGCTGAACTTTGAACTCATTTACCACTCAAAAATAAACTAGATGTTAAGTACGTAAAGTGTTGCAATACGTTGGATTCCTATTACGTATTTGCACCTCAGAGCATTTAAGCCACAGACACTTATTGTCAATTTTCCTTTAATACACCACGTAATGAGGACAGCTCAGTAGTGCAAATTTTCACATTATAGATCAGAATGAAAGAGGAATTGAGGGTTTGACTGCAGGGAGACAAGAACAACTTGTAAAGTTAAGCCACACTTTTCCAAACTACTGGAGCACACGCCAACTCTGCACATAGCACTGTACTTCAGTGGAGACAAAGTGAACACTCCACACAGAAAGAAAAGAAAAATAATCACTATTATGAAGGCCGTATCCTGTCACCATTCTGTGCAAGAATATCACTGCAGTAAAAATGTTATGCTAAAAAAGACAACCTGATGACAGGACAGGGCCTCACGACAGACACATTTCATGGAAAATAACGAGTTGTCTTAAACAGTAGCATAAAGCTGGCCCATTTCAGACAAACAAGTATTAAAAACGTACTAGCACCATCAACTTTTGGGTTAAAGCCCTTTATGGGATGGAAAAAAAGGTGTTAAGCAGTGTTAAAAAAAAAATATATGGTTTTACAACACTATGCCTATGTGGCAGAAAATAGGTGTTGGGATTCCCCCCTCATCTTTAAGCTCAGAAATCCACAGACAAGAAGTGGTACAGTAATGTGAACGGGATCCGTCCAGGTCAAAGGTACTCTGTGCTCCAATTCTGACTTGAGGACTCGAGTTTTCCTCCTAAATTGTAGTGCACAAACATCACAAAACATCTTCGCAGACTTCAAAAATAGTACAAAAAAAAAAAAAAGGGAGATCATTATGAATCAGGATCTATCATTCCTCTATGCACTTTCAATCTAGAATAATAAACAACCAAAGAAAACCAACATAGTGATATTGCCTCAAAATTTACCCGTATTTAAAAAAAAAGAAAAAAAAAGGAAAGGAAAAAGAAAGAAAAGTCACTTCCAAACATCTTGGACATCCTTAGCTAGTAATGCTAGATTTTCTTTAACTGTAGTGCATAGTTATCCTGGCTCTTCCACTTAATTAGCTCTTACCACAAAACCACCCCTCTAGTATGACATGACTACTCATGGTAAACAAGTGTTTACCAGGAAAAAAAAAAAAATGCTGATAATTGCACTTTGTAACCTCCTTCTCATTTCCCAGGAAAGCATCAGTAAATATGAAACTGAACCAGTATTCCCTCCCCAGACTGCAACCTTTGAAGAGCACCCGTCCCCATACACAAAAAACGGTCTGTTTCAGCTTACAATAAATACTGACATGACTTCTTTGTTTTCTTTTAAGACATGTTTTCTCTAGCATCAGATCACCACTGAAATCACTAAGGCCTGTGACTGAAAACAAACAAGATTTAAATAACTTTCTGAAGACACTGCGGATACAATTTAGCAACAACACATTCAAAATGCCGGCCCAAATCCCAGAGCCTGTCTGGAGTCTCATAGACCTTTTGCCATTGGTCAGTAACTTCATCATACTGGTAGAGCGAATTCTTCCTGCTGGTTCTGAAAACATGTTCTTCAACAGTGACTTGAGTAGCTCTGACAAACAGATGGAGTTTGTTTTTGAGGAGTACGAGTTTTATATATGGATTAATGGACTGATCACAAGGGAAGTCTTTTTTTCGAGTCCACTTATTTTGTTCAATGTCATAGGCCTCTACGGTAAACATACGTTGATGGTTTCCACAGGTTCCAGCTATGTAGTAGATGGAGTCATTGTACACAGTTGCCAAGCCTTGGAGTCTAGGCACAGTCATGGGGGTCAAAAAGCCCCAGTAATCCTTCTGAGGATCATAGCAGAGAAAAAATTCCCCTGAAAAAAGAGAGGAAAAATAAAACATAACTTACGCTTCATTCTCGGACCAGTAATTCTGCAGCTACTAAGCTTTCAGATACGTTGTTCCACAGACATAAACAGTCTACCAATTTTTAAGTGCCCAGATCCCATAACAGAAACCCTAGCACCATGGCCTGCTTTCGTCCAGGTTACAAACACATGAGTAAAAACTACTTTGAGTTTGTATTCCAGCCAAAAAAGAGGGAATGTGAAATGTATCAGAAGTACAATGTTTTACGTATTTACTAGATATCCTTCACTACTTCTAAATCATGCTTACTAATTTGGGACAAATTCTTGTAAGATTCTAGGCTTGAAATGTCTGGAGTATTTGTTTTGCTCTTTAACATCTTCACAATAGGTCATCTACAGCCCATGGAGTCCCTGAATTCAGTGCCAGAAAGTCATTAAACCTGAGCAAACAATTGTGTCTTGCACCACACACAGACTTTGAAACCATTTGCATCAGGAAGCTGGGTTACACATTTGGGTTGATCTGCTTAGAAGGATGCCAGGTGAGTATTTGCATGAAGCTACTGATTCATCATTAGTTTTGTGATGTGATTACAAAAACATCTCTTCTGTTCACTGCACAGGGAAGCATCTACAGGCTACAGATAATGGAAGTTCAGCTGAGTGAAAGCTTATGCTCTGCAAACTTGATGAAAATAGATAAATATTACTCTGTCTTTTGTAAAGCTTGGGGAAATAAAGGTCTAACATTTGCCAAATACCAGCATAATTCAAATAATATATAATTTCACATGGCTGTTTTAAGAATCTTAATCAAGCTGCTGTGTAACCAAGCACGTCAAGTATAACAAAGAATACAGCAGTGATACAATAAAATGGATGGGGGACAACTTAAAAGCCAAGCTTTACATATAATACATTTTTTGATTATTAATTTTTATTCCAAAGTGTAATCTCCTATGACTGATGCTCGTGTTCCACTGGCATTTAAACATTCAATCCTTATTGACTACTTCAAACTTACTACCTTTCTCTAGAAAGGTTATTGAAAGTTAACTTTTTTATACTACTTCAGTGCAACTCAATCAAGGTTTTATCTATCACACTCAAACAGAAGAGTTGCCTATTTCCCATAACATAAATCTTTGTAATCTGCTGGTTGCACAGTGAAATACCTTGCAAGCATTGAGCTGTCATTTAAACCACTGAACCACAGAATTAGTGCAGTTAAAATCTGTAAACAAATTATGCAGGTTATTAAATTGTTTATGTTTTTAGCAGTTCTAACAAACTCTAACAAGTTAAATCATAGACAGGTTTGGGTTGGAAGGGACTTTAAAATTAATTCTGTTCCAACCCACTGCCATGGGCAGGACACCTTCCGCTAGAGCAGGTTGCTCCAAGCCCCATCCAACCTGCCCTTGAACACTGCCAGGGATGGGGCAGTCACAGCTTCTCTGGGCAACCTGTACCAGTGCCTCATGATCTTCGCTGAAAAGCAGTTCTTCCTTTTCTCTCATCTAAATCTACTCTTTCATTTTAAAGCCATTACCCCCTTGTCCTGTCACTATGTTAAGTATTAAAGTATTACATGAAATATTCTTCTGTGTTCTTTTAACCATCTAAAGCAGACATCTGACCCAACAGAACAAACAGACTGAGACAACTTGCTAGCGTAACACAATTACTTAAAGCCACAACCAGCAAGAGTCAAATCTGATACAGAAACTACAAAGTCTCTCCCAGTCATGTGGAAGCCCAACCTTACCAAGTAGCAGGGAAGCAAAGTCAAGAAATCCAGTTGAGTTCTTCAAGTACGTAACAATGACCTTACAGTATTCTCTATCCTATTTCTTTCTTCTGGTCCAGCTTTGTATGGAGAGCAACCCAAAGAGGGTGTTGATGTGAATCTAGGACTCCAACTTCTGCAGGTGTTTTCAGAGGTGGCCTTTAGCAAAACATAACCAAGACACCCTCTCTTCTTTCGCTCCACTTCTTGGGACTCTTACTACAGCCCCGTAGACCAGTCTCTGCACCTTTATGTGCAGACTGCTATATGGCTCGAAATACAAATAGGTATTTTATAGAAAAAGGAAGAATATATTATTTGATCCATTTTGATAATTACCCTGTTTATTAATTTAATAATATCTAATACACCAGGAAGTCCGAATATTTAGTTGGAAGAAAGCATGTAAAGGCACTATATAATTACTGATCAAAGAAACAGAGCTAATTAGAAAGAGAGAAATCATCTTTCTTAGTTTCCAGGTTGACTTTGAATAGCAGGGTAGGGGATGAAATGAAGGCTTTCAGTGGTCACCAAGAATATAGACACTAGGAATTTTCACGGGTTTAGCTAAATAAAATGAAACCTGCTTTTTCAGAGGACAGTATCTTTTCTTCAACATTAGTGCATTTCAACCAGATGATGATTTAATAGAAGAATTTTGACAGTAAAATTTAATACTATACTGTTGACTTAGCACCACCAAAATTGCCATTTGGGCAACACTCAATGCTACAATTCAGTGATATGTTCCCAGGGCATGAGAACTCAAGCAGCAACCTCGCTCTTCCTCACCCGCTGCTTTCCCTAGCCTTCATTCCACCTTGTTGTTCCAGGTGTACTCTAAATGTCCAGGAAATTTAGGTTTTACAAGGTGCTTAAAGGAGCATAGTCAGATTGAACAATCCCCACTTCCAAGAAAACACCATGTAGTCAAACCACCTTACCCTGTAAAACATAGATGTTATCCTTATATTCCACAGCACTATGAAACTCCATTGCTACTGGCATTGGACAGACAGCTGTCCAACAGTTCTCTCGGCTGTCGTAACACTCCACAGACTTGAGTGAGTTACGTCCATCTCCTTCATAAACACGACCACCTATTGCATACAGTTTACCACAGCAATGAACCAGTTTGCAGCCTATCCTGGCTCGCAACAAAGGAGCTTTCGGAATCCACCTATTGCCAGAGTGATCATACATCCAAAAATCACTCTCTGCTCTGTGGTCAATGGAGACCTCACTGCTGCTCGGTCTGTAACCACCCGCAATATAAATATCATTATCAGGAGATACAAGAATTCCAACCTCCCTCAAGTCATTTGGTGGCTTGCATAGTTTAAACACTCTCCCTGTGACCGAATCTAAACAAGGCACTGTTTGCTTCTTTCCTGAGTGTTTGTGGGCAGCATCAAAGCATATGATCATTTCAGAAGCGGTCATTCCAAGCCGTTGTGTATAGCCATTGGCACTATGTTGTCCCTTTTGTACACAGCTTTTGGCCATAGCCTGTGCAAACACGGGAGGGATTTTCTCTAAAAATGTCTCTTCCAACAGAGGCATACGGATGCATTTGGCAAATATTTCTGGAAGGTGCACTTCTCTCTTATGTTGTTCATGCTCAAACCACCTTATAATGCTGTCATAAACGTGTTCTTCTTTGTCTACATTTAAGTCATCACTGTCGAGTATACTTATCAGTTGGTCTTTTCTCAAGTGAAGAAACTCTTGCTCTTTGGTGACACTCAGAAACTTTTTACGAATGTAGTCTTGTGATCTGTCTTTGAGTTCCTGATGACCATAGTGATCAGCAAAGATAAACACCCCAATGGAGTTCTGTGGGTCCAAATGACTGATCATGTATTTAGCACACTGGTCTTGTATGGAAGGGATCTGGAAGATACTAGCTGCAGTGAACAAAGCTTGAACGTTGGCCTCTGTCAGCATTACTCTGGAGGTATATGCATAGTTCAATACTAAATGCATTGACTCTGCTTCAACACCAACTATACGAACTTCTTTCTGGGTACTCTCTGTAAGGCCGCTAGTGAACATAGATCTACAAAAGAGAAACATTCAGCAGTTTATTTGTAATCACCTTCTACGTACATGTATGAGGAAAGAAGTCATATTGTATAGCTAATCCCAATCAGTTTGCCCTTGTAGCTGCATAAATACATTTATCACTGATGTTATACTGTCCTGTTTGGATACCTAAATTTAAGATCAGTTCTAGACTTACTGAAACAAAAATGGCAAACTCTAATTTCTTGCTTAATTATCTCATTAACCCCATATTAAAATTCACTCACTTTACAAGCAAAGCTCCTGACACGCGCAAGTCTTCGCATTCAACTTTCAACATGTTATTTCACATGCACATTCTAGCATACTAGAATATATAAATTTAAAAGGAAACAAGGAGTTTAAATATGCTGTTCTTGAATCCAAGATACCCTCAAAACTGGATGCAATTTTGTTGGGGGTTTTTGTTAAATCATGTAACATTTTCTCCAGTGAAACTCTCATTTTATAAACAGACACTGCTAATTCACTGGCCTGAAAAGAACAATAACCTTTACTTAACTAGGTTCACTGTATTACCAGGTTCCATGGAATATTAGTATAGGTGTGATTTTTAATTTTAACAATGAACTTAAATTATAATTCTGCTATTGATCACTAGAACAATGGACTATTGTACCTGAAGTAAGGACTGATCGCAGCAAGAACATTCCTGTGACAAGAGAATGTTTTCCCATGATCCACCTCCACTACGATATCTGTCAACTGTCCTTCATCATACATGGTTTTCAGCTGTTGAAGAATACTACAAGCATGGAAGGGGTCCATTCCACTGCTGACTGGGTTTGAAGAAGGAATTCCGTTCAGTGTTTGTGAAAACTTACTTGGTTCTACAAGGCAAAAATTGAAACTGTTTAACTAACGAACAAGAAATACAATACCCCAACCCTCTCCCTCCAAAGAAAAACCATGCAGGAGCAAGAATTAGCTCAAATTAATATTCTATACTTCCTCATTGTCACTATTCATCAACAGCAAGTCTAACACTTTCAAGAGTAAAGATATAGATATCTTTTTTTTTTTTCAATGTATGCATTGGCTACCATTAACCATTAAATTATATCTATTGACATTAAGAAAAAAAAAACAAAACAAATAGTTCATACTTACTCCGTTTCACTGGGAAATTAAGTCAAGAATCACAAAGCTTACTGACTTACAAAACAGGAAAACCAAAGAATGCAAAAGAATAACATAAGCCTCCAACCTACATCATCATTACACAAGTCTATATGCACAAGCTTAACTTCACACTGAAACAGGAACTGGCTTCTAGCTTACACAAGTGATGGTTAATAGCGTGGACTCATGAAGAAACAGTAAATATGTTGGGCAACAAACTTAAATTCGCATCAGTTTGTATGGATGCTTAGATGTTTTTCTTTACAAATACAACACAACTGCCATATCAAATTGCTTGGCTATGAGGGAGCTCACATATCATCCTGAAAACATATGAAGTGGAGCATATTCTTCTAAGTAACATGTGATGTGCCTAATGAAGTAAAGCCCAAAGTGAAAATTGAGCAATACCTCAAGCACGGAAAAACTGTTTCGTAATAGCAACCAAATTTTTACGCAACAACAACAACAAAGGAGAGCTCAAAAGAAAAACATTAGGTGGCAAGAGCTGCAAATCAGGTAAAGCTGCTGACTGCAACAGAGAAAGCTTCCAACAGATTTTAGGCAACACAAAGGGGCAAAGAGGACAGCAAACTACAATGTTGATGATGAATAGGAAATTTCAATTCTAATTCATAGTGATACACAGCAGTTACAGTTTCTCTTACTCAGAATTAAGACACAGCTTTGATCAGGGACAATTAAATCAATGGGGATCTGCTGTTGGGCACCCATTTCCCATGGAGGCTTAGGGACAAATATCATCAGTGTCTCTTCAAACTACTGTTAGGAAAAGTCTTCAAAACACTTTCATGCCTCCCTCCCTACTCTTCCCATGAAATAGTAATACTTCAGGTAAAATCTACAACAGGGAACTTGACTTTATCACACTAATTGAGCTCCAACATTCAAAACTCACCAATCATTAGGGAAGTGGAGTATTGGTGCTTGTTTAGAAATAGTGTCAATCACCAGCGAGCAAATTCCAAGTAAATAATACTTTGCTAAATCGGTTCCAAGGCTTCCTACCTACCACAGCTCTGATGTAGCTACTATTGCAGGAGAGTTTAATTTATTTTTCTAACAGTGAAAAAGATGCAAAACAGTTCTTTTCTGACCCTGCCAGTAACTCCGGCAATGAGCATATGCAAGCAAGCCAGCTTCTAGTGCTAGAATAGGTACTCATGCACGTATTCTACTTAATCCTTGACACTATCCACATTTCAGCTTTCACCCCATAAAACCTTCCCAGTCATTTTCATCACCTTCATTTCCCTCCTCCTGCCCCAATCTTCTTTATCCTCTGTCAATATTCCTCTCAATTGCACCTCAAAATTTTAACTGTTTCTCACAGACATCACCCCAAAACACTCTCCACATTAACTTCTCCGACTCCCCTCTCTTCTCCACTCCCCACACATCCACGTTCATACACGCCTTTCATCACGCACAGCCCCTCTCGGCTGAGCTCCCCTCACACAGACCACAACACTGAGATGCCCCTCAGAGGAAACCCTCCCTCCACCCTAACAAAGCCCAGCCTTGCCGCACACCTCACGCGGCCCTGCTCTCTGCCCATACACCAGCTCTCACCTCACACCCCTGCACACAACCCAGTCAGACACCCCCCTCTGACATCACCTTCCCCACACCGCAGGCCCCTCATCCAAGCACCCCAGGCCCGTCCCCCCTCACATCCACTCCTCAGCCCAGGGACCTCCACCTCGGTTCTCCCCACGACCACCCCCCAGATAAAGGCTTCACTCCCCTTCTCTATGTGCCTCCCCTCCCCAGACATCCCTCACCACACAGACTCCCACAGCAGCCACCCCACCCCGAGTGCCCTATCCCACAGGCCGCTCCCCCCTCCAGCCCGCTCCCCCACACGGCTGGCCCGGCCGCACCGACCTCCTAACGCTGCCATTCTCGGGGCCCCGCTCCGGCAGCGGCAGAGAGGGGCGGCCCGAGAGGAAATGTCACCCGCGCCGATTCCTCTCCGCGGCCCGCTTACTCCCGCGGAAGCCAACCCCGCTCCTCGCACCGGCCAACCTGAGGCGCGCTGATTGGTCACAACCCGCACAGCCTGACGGGAAATGTAGTGCGTGCCTCCATCCGGGACGTGCACCGCCCCCGGTCGCGCGGGGCATGCCGGGAGTTGTAGTTCTCCCCGGGGCGGTCTGATTGGGTGTTGTAGCTTAAAGGAGGAGGCAGAGGGGGACATGGGGACGGGTTCTGCTCGTCGCGTAGCAACGCGCCCCAGGGCGGAGCAGCCATCTTGGGGCCTTCAGGCAGGGGTGTGCGGACAGCACTCAGCACCTTGCTGTGAGTCTTCCGCTCTTTAGGGGCACTCAACAGAAATGGCCTCACCACACAAATAAACCCATCCCGATTCCTGCTTTATCAGCCCTTGTGCTGCCTCTCTCCTGCTCTCACGGACTTGCAGACCCTCCCAAAGAGGAGCAGAGGCATCACCCAGAAGCTGTGTGCCCAGCAGGCCAGGCAGAGCAGCCACCATGGGCACTGCTGGAAAACGAGCAGAAACGGGGAAGAGGAAAATGCCTGCCATCATCCTAATAATGCAAGGACGTGGTTGGGGCAGGGCAGCATCTGAATGCAAGACCCAGAGCTGTGCAAGGCAGAATTGACCTTTAATGAAGAGCATAATGGACTGCTTAGTCTGAAAGCTCATCACGCCGGGAGTCTTTATTTTACCATTGTTCACAACACCCAGCGCAGTGTGGCTGGTGCTGAACCAGCCCTACACACAGAGCAGCTGAACAACTCCAGCAAACAAGCAACCATTTTGTTGGCAATGACCTTTAATATCACAAAGCACATTTCTCTCCATCCTGGAGATCAAGGGGCTGATAGTCACCAGCTTTTCCAGTTCTCTGCAGCCACTGGCCACTGGTTTCATTCTTGGTAACTGAGTCATTATCAGAAGTTTGCTGCAGAAGTGGGTTTTTTTCCTCCTTTGTGAAACGCAGTTAATGAAGAATTAACCGTAAGAGAAGCATGAGAAAATCCAGCATGTTTCTCTGGGTTTGATGAAAATAGATTTATTACAACTTTGCAGCTTCTAGCTGGAAAGTTCTGTTAAAAACTGCAAGCCAAGCCAATTTAATTTATATTTGTACAATACATTTCCCTTTAATTCTCAGAAACAGTAACATGGGTCCATCACCAGCGCTCTAAAGTGAATGAATTTAAAGGCAAGAAGAGTACCACTCGGTGTCATCCGCCTGCTGCTGACGTGGCTTTGCTTTCACTTGCAAGGCACGGCTTTTCCCCAGTTTAGCAATTATCAGTGGCGTCCAGGCTGCTGTCAATACTAATGCCACAGAGAACAGGGATGATAGAGACACTGAAGAAGGAGGTGTAAAAGAAAATAGAACTTTGCGTCTGCAAATCGATCCTGCAGTTTTTCCAATTTCCCCATTCAGCAATGGCACAGCCTGTGAAATTGTCCCTTGGAATGTAAAACGGAGGGAAGAAGAATACCTCTATTCTTACCTTGCAGCAAATTACACTGCCTGATACAGCTCATTTCCTTTGCTGGAAGCAAAACATAGAATGTTTTTTAATACAGATACCACATTGAACCATACTTTGGAGTGAAAGCTTTTCTTGAAATAGCTTACCTTTGTATGGTCTTTGGTGAAGCACATAAATTGCGATACAAACAGGTTTAAATATGCTTCAAGAGGCATTGGTGTCAACTATTTATCTTAGTCCAAAGTCTTTGCAAGTGTAATATGCCACCACCCCTCTCCTCTGTGGAAGCCTTCACTGTTAGTCCTTAGCGCTTAGAAGACTTAGCACAACGGAGCACTCCCACGGAAATCCAAGGACCTGCTTTTTCACCTATCTCTGCATATTATTTACTGGATCACTGAGGTGCAAAATGAGAAGCATGTGCCTGTGCAAGTTGCTCTGAAATCCATGTCAGTCACCTAGCATGCTGAAGCTAGGTATTAGAAATGGCATTTGCATTACACACAAATATTGGAACCTTTCTCTCAGAAATTACAAGATGCTGTGTTCCAGCTCCCTTTGCATCTGCTGCATCCTTTTCTTTCTTTCTTCCGTCATTGTTTTGCCTGCAAAGCGATGCAGGCCCTCTATTCAAGCATAGAACTACAAGTTTGAATACTGGGTTCTCAGCTCGGAACTGACACTAATTTGCTTTCATGCTGTTGATGAAATTATTTGATTTCATGGATTTTGGCTTCCCCAGAGACACAGGGGAGCTATGGATAGACATATTCATATCAATTCCTTTATCAATATTCTAATTAGTTTGGGTAGGGTGGTTTTACTGGTTTACATTTTCTGTTGGTCAGCAATGCACTGAAACTAGTGATACCATTTTAACATGTTGCAAGAATCCAAAAGGTCCTGGTTATTGAGGGACTGGGATGCTTTCACTTGTGCTTTAGCTTCACACCTAATTTAGCATTCCTTCAGATACAGCTTGAAAATATACATCTGAAAACACTTGGTGGGGAAAGTGCCATGGGCAGGGACACCTTCCACTAGAGCAGATTGCTCCAAGCCCTGTCCAACCTGGCCTTGAGCACTGCCAGGAATGGGGCAACCACAGCTTCTCTGGGCACCCTGTGCCAGTGCCTCAGCACCCTCACAGGGAAGAACTTTTGCCTAAATGCTCATCTCAATCTCCCCTCTAGCAGATTAAAGCCATTCCCCCATGTCCTGTCACTAAAAGCCTTGTCAGAATCTCCTATCCAGCTTGCTTGTCAGCCCCTTTAGCTAATGGGAGCTGCTCTAAGGTCTCCCTGGAGCCTTCTCCAGCTGAACAAGCCCAACTCTCTCAGCCTGTTGAGATGTTTTCCTTCATTACACCTACAGAACAAGTTAATTAGAGAGCTGTGCTCATCTGCCTTCAACACAGAGACCAAGAGAGCCTCCTATCTTTGGCAAATTATTGGTTTGGGTCATCTGGTAGGGAACTGCCCAAGCCACCCCCTGTGCTCCTGCTGCGCAAGAGATAATGCACGGAGCACTTGGATAATGCCAGCTCTTGCTACTCAGTATTAGGTAAGACTTTTCATACTGCCTTCTGCCAGCAAAATGAAGATAATAAATGTAATTGGACTAAAATGTAAAGAAAAATAGAATGAGAGGGTTGTTCGAGCAGCTTTTTAGTCTTTTTCCGCAACATTGAAAGGTCTCTTTTAATCAGTTGCTCGAGGTAAAAAAAAACAAGCATTAATTTCCAGCAGAACTGTTTAATTATAAAATTCAAATCAAATACTAGTAAATAATATTCCTTGCTGTCTCCCAAATGTCTCAATAACTAATATTTGCAACTCTTCAGTTATTTGTGCTTTGAGTCTGTAAGAAGCAATACAGGTGACAACTGCACTCTGAAACCCCATCATACTTTAAAAGGAAAACTCTTGATATTCACTATGGCACAATCTAACCTTGAAAACAATCTTTTACCAGTTTGGCTTTAATGCATAAAACACTGCTCATTTTCTGCAATCCTGTCACCAAGAGGCACATTAATTTAGTTGCACAATAATTTAATACATTGATGTATCGATTGAAGGAGAGGGTTTTGTTTAGTGGTTCCCAGAAATAGTGCATTTCTTGCAGGATCCTTAAAAGGACAGCTCTTGCTGCAGTTTAAATAGGAGGAATTGGAGATCATTAGGGAAAGTTGCCCTTCAAAGCTGATTGATCCTGCCATACTGAGCACAGTGGGCCTTACATCAGGAGAGAGGGAAAGCTGGCAGGGGGCAATTAATGGGGCAGATATCAGAGTGACTTTTCTGATTACCACATACTGTACAGTGGATTTGGCTTTGTTGAGACAGGCTGGTAGAAACAAGAATCCTGATGAGATATGGCTCTGCTAATGTCAAGAAGTGCCACTTCCTAGCAGCAGGAGCAACTTTATTGAAACCATCTGTTGTTTTGGAAGGCACATGTGCATGCACACACATACTTCCTTCTCCCAAAGTGTTTAACCTTTCTCTTAAGGCTGACTGAGATCGCACAGTTAATCCCTCCTTATCACTGAATGACAAGCTCTACCCTTTTCAGCAAGTCCCAGCGGCTACTGGAAATGTGGATGACCAGCATTGTTTAGATGGTGTGAGAGCGATGTATTCTGGAACAGCCACTTCAGAGGAAAATACCCATTCATCCGTCATCAACATAAAGTTTCCCAAGAGCAGTCTGTGATTACTAGGAGCCTGACACAGAAGGCGTGGGTATCTGCACAGAGATGGGAAATCAGTACTCCACTGGATCTGCTCTACACAGGGGACAGAAAGAAGAGATCCAGCAGTCATAACCCAACAACAGCCTCAAAGTGAATGACGCTTTTTGGGTTACAGCAGACTCCATGTATGAGCTCTGTTCAGATTTGTCAAGTCTCTAATCATATTTTTATGATCATCCCTCCTTAACATGCCACAACTTTTAAGCTTCTCTTGGCTGTTACAGAGGGGTGCATCAGAGCCTGGCTGCCACCAGAAAATGTGGCTCCACTGGAGCATTCACTGAGACTGAATTAACTGCAGATAATCTATTTATGTCACTATTTCGTGCACATCTGTGCATGTTTTATTCCTGAAAGACATGTCTAAAAGCACCACTTGAAAAATAAACAGCAGCTTCTTGCAGCTTTGGAGCAAACACTGTGTATCATACCTGGACTCTCCAAAATCCCTCTGACCAGCAAATATGACACATATTCCACAGGCGTCTGGGCCACTCTCTAAACCAAACCACATACAAAGGTGGAATGTGCCCCATCCAGAGCAGGAGGAGGCATGTTCCTGAGCTTGTCTCAGAACTGTGCTGCAACAAGTAGTTTAAACTCATCTCCAAACCCTTCTAGCTACCTCCTGTCTACATCCAGTGGGCCCAGACAAAACCAACCCTTGCAACGCTGGATGAAGCAACAACAGAGAAGAGCAACGACTTCTTACTGCGCCTTCTTTTCTGCATCCACTTTTGCTTCTACCTACATGTGTGTGTTATGAGAACTTTGCAGCTTGCATATAAAAAACCCAGACAGACCTCCAGATCACCA